CTTTACTGTTTATCTTCCTTTCTGTGAAGCCTGAAGTCAACTAAAGGGTTAATGATACCTATCATTACGCCTGCCATTTGAAATAAATAAGTTTCTAATAGAATTTGCAAGCCGAAAAAAGCTTTTTGTAATAGTAAAATAACATTTTCGATCGATGAGTGGTTCATAGTTGTTACGTAGGCATAGCCTCTCATAACGTATTGACTGTTATACACTACAATATTTTCCAAATCAAACTTAAAGATTTTTAAAATGCTGCTTGATTGACCCTTAACTGGAAAACATCTACTTCGCACTCTTGAACTTGGACTTTTCGTTCAGTTAATTGAGTTTTGGCATTCTAAATCTAAAACAGAATCAAGTTATTAGAGCAACATGACCTTTCAATACTGACTCTTCACAATTTGTGTCAATTCATCCTTTTGTTTATTTATTCCAATCACCAACTCTTCTCACTAATCTAGCTTGTTTACTTAAATTTTAAAAATTTGGGGCCTTAAAACCGGCAACCTTTACCAATCGATAGACATTTACTCAAACGATTCAAGCAAAGTCTGTTCCTTCAAAGCTACAACTTTAGTCCCATCTAAATAAGTAGTATGTTTACTATAACTCAAATGTGTAAACCGTGCTTGGCTGGTGTGTGTATGTGTAAGCATCTTTCTAAGGGTTGTAAAAGTTGAGGACGAGAGGCAGAAAAATGCAAACAAACTGCCGCAACCGCTGTCGTTAGTGCGTTACTGCATCTTATCGATCCATCATCACTGCTACTGCTACTACTCCTATTAAAGGGGGGGGGATGGCAAAAAGCTTGAGCGTTGATTGGGTGTCGTAAGTACGCTAGATCGCACGCATGCGGCCATGCGTGTAGTGCGTGAGTGTGTGTGTGTGTGTGTGGAATTATTCATACGACTCTGTGGCTATTAGGACGAACCTGCCGCAACGTTGGCGTCCAAATTCATAAAAGGCGCTCACAAACTATTGGTTGACAGTGTTTTTGGCTGACTTTTGTTCGCTTAAAAATCGCAAATGTCAATCATGGGTGTGGAAAATTCAATTTTTATTTCAACGTGTTGTCCAAAGTAGAGAGAAGTTGATTATCAGATTTTCGTTAACTGTTGATGAAATCTTGTCAATAATAACGCGGTTATAAAACAGTAGTAATTACTGTAATTGTATATTTAACCAGAAACAAAAATTAGAAAGATTTGTCCGCAATTGAGGATATGCTAGGGACACACTTGTTAGGAAGAGAACTACAATTTAGCAAGACATAGACCGGCCCATATCTTTCCACACAATGAAGACCTTAATCAGAAGTGAAATCAAGACTTCAAGAACCAACGAACTTAAAGCTCGAATGAAGGAGAAGCAGTGGACAGAGGCACTCTCCAGCATAGCCGACTAGCCAAGGATCGAAGCTGTTGCGGAGGTTAGACTGCGTACCGGACGCGATTGCCTGGCGAAGTACCCTCAGAGTGACCTACAGTGAGAATAGTGAAGATCCACCTGGTTCCGTGTCCAGCCTTAAAGATAACGACAGGAACCCAGAGATACTTTGAAGCCAGAAGTCAACCAATAAACTACTGTCAACTGCCCTGAAGCTAATATATGCTCCTCCTCCCTCCCCCTTGCCATTTGAAATAATAATAATAATATAATATATCAAATAGCGGGCGTTTTGATAGTTATCATTAGCCCTTTAGTTGACTTCAGGTTTCATTTATCATTAGCCCTTTAGTTGACTTCAGCCTTCACAGAGGAAAAAAGTCATGGGGAGGGGGGTGCAACAGAAGAGTATTTCAAAAATGTAAAAGAGACGGACACAAAGGTATAAAAAATGTGGGGTGAGTACTGTGGAAGAATTCGAATATGACTTACAGTGGGGTGATTGTAATTAGAAGTGAGAAGTCAACTGCCGGTTAATAGACTTTTTTGCCGTATGAGTATACGTTGCCCAGGGTGCACCACGTGGAGGTAAGTCTATCGCACACCCCATAATAATAATATTTAAACAGAAATAGTTTAAATGAAAGCGAAGTGAACACGAGATAACTGTTTCTAGCTGTTCTATATCACGAAGCCTCATGCATGAAGACTAGTCTCTCTGTCATTAGCAATGATAAGTCTTTGTGTGAAGTAAATGTTTAATAAATTCATTTGAAGGTGAAATAGGGTGCATCTTTTAATTATGAAGAAATAAACAGAAAAGTATGAAGGTAAGGAATGGGGAGTATTCATAGCGCAAGTGGGAGTCGAGAAAGCATGGAGGCCCTTCTTCAACTAATGTTTAGGATAATCGAGTTCGACGGCACCTTTTGATTTACTTTTGTGAGGCTTATCACATCTAATCTAAGTGACAAGAGTTTACATGACCTTGAAGGTGGTCTTATCTTCAAGAATGTTTTGTCGCGTCCATGCACTAGACAGAGGAGTAGAGCAGTTGTCAGACCTTCTTTGGGTTAGTGGCAATTAGTTTTCTCATCTCATTTTCACTTGTAATTTAGAAAATGATTCACGCGCATAGCTTCCAACTGTGATCAATGTTCCGTGGTAAGGTGAATAGGACTCATAATCAAAATTTGTTTTGTTTTTCAAAGAACACCTGTTCATCCGCGCGTAAATTTAAACCTTTGCGGAGGTCTCAGGCCCGATTCCCATTTGGCGCAGTTTAAGGTGGCAAATAAATTAAAGTATCGTGATGATTAGGGGAGGGGGCGGAGGGGGTGGGGGTGGGGTGGGGGATCAGACATATCACGTACTTGTCAGATGATAGCCTTGATGTCCCACTGTTTGTAGGTGGCGTTCAATTTTAGCTTGGAGATAAGCTGCCATGGTTGTTCTCATTTAAATTTACCCTCCAAAAGGTAAATTATTATATGAAATCGTTGGACTAAGTACTTATTGTTGCTTTTTGCAAGTAAATCCGGCCCGGAGATTGGAGGAGAAATACAGAGGTGCACCCACTCCAAGGAATTTTGCTAATTTGGTAACAAGAATTATTGGATTTCTTCATTTGATTGATGTTTGAAGGTAAACCAACCGCTAGACCAATAGGGTTTTTCTTTGTTCAGATTAACTACCAAGCTGCCAACATTTTGATAAGGCCCTGTGGTCACTAGTTATGATTGCCGGAATCTCGTCACGTATTCGCACCCCAGTCCGAAACCCTAACAACCTTCACCCTTCTTTTTATATTTATAAGCTTCAAGTGGTGGTAACGCTTTTGCTTTCTTACGCCCATTCTAATCATTGCAAAACGCGCTAACATGGGAATAAGAACATGCCACCTCGACAATCTTTTCACCGTGGGCAATTAAGAGTTTCCATGACTTTCAATTCTCCGTAATTTTAGCATGGTATTATACAGTTTTTAAAAAAAATTATATCAAATGGCAGGGGTTTTAATAGCTATTATTAGTCCTATAGTTGACTTCAGGCTTCACAGAGGGGAAGAGGAACATCGGAGTTAAAAATGTTGAGAGAGGGAGGGGGGGGGGGAACAGGAGAGTGTTTCAAAGATGTAAAGAGACAGACGGACACAAAGGTAGAGAAAAAGGTGAGGTGAGTACTGTGGAAGTAGTCGAATATGACATACAGTGGGGTGATGGTAGTTTGAAGTGAGAAGTCAACTGCCGGTTTATAGACTACTTTGCCGTATGAGTATACGTTGCCCAGGATGCATCACGTGGAGGTAAGTCTAGCGCACACACCGTTTTTAAAAAAATTGGGGGAGTAAATAATCATTTATTTAATTACTCGCATTAGCCAGAGTAAGTTCTTCGCCCTTGAGCGATTCTTAAAGTCAGTGCTTGAACATTTCTTTCGAATCAGATATTTAGCCTCTTATATAAGGCCTTTAATTTTTTGGAATAACTTAATGAAACAAGAGCAAATAAACGTTCCTAATTAGTGAGGCTGGTTCAATGGCAATGTCTAAATAGGTATCAAAAGAGACATCTCCGTTTAATTAACTCTCATCAACTTTTAAATTTATGATCTAAATATTCATTTATTTCAAATGGCAGGCATTATGATAGGTATCATTAGAACTTTAGTTGACTTCGTGCTTCACAGAAAGGAAGAGGAACACCAAAGTGGCAAAAAGTCGAGAGGAGGGGGGACAGAATAATGATTCACAGACGTAAAAGAGACAGACAGTCACATGGGTAGAAATAATGTGAGTACTTGAAATTAGTAGAATATGAAATGCGGTGTGGTCTTGGTAGTTGGAAGTCAGAAGTCAACTGCCGATTAATAGACTTTTTGCCGTATGAGGTCACGTTTCCAAGCCATTTAATAGACTTTTTGCCGTATGAGTATACGTTGCCCAGGGCGCACCACGTGGAACTAGTTCATCCCGCACCCCATTTTCTTGATAATAATTGTGTTTTTCTGAATTTTCTCAATATTCCATATCTTTGTTCTCCAATTGGAACATAAGGTATTAGTTCTATTAAGAGCATAAATTATTAATCCTTCCATCTCTTTAAGTTCCATGCTGCTTTTTCCAAGCGTTTTGCGACAATCTTAGACGGTGATAGCCTTCATTCCTTCACTAATAATTTTCTTATATTTTTTCATTAATATCACTCTATTTAACCGAACCGTTAATCTTCGGTTGAAATTTACTTCTTCGAGATTTATTTCGTTATTATTCTTGAACAGTGAAGATGTTTTCATAAATAAGTAGAAAATATGGAAAGTCTATCTGATTTAAACTTTAGGTAGAACATTAATGAAATATTTATTGTCAATTACCAAACATCCTCAGACCCCATTCTAGTTTAGTTGAGGAATGAAAGAAAAGAATAACCTTATTTCTGCATATATTTGATTAGGATATCAATACAACAATTATTTGAGCATATTGATCTATGAACAACACAACAGTATCATACACTTTAATTAGTACATCGATTCTATTACAAGAATCAGCTGACTACTAGATTTAACAAACGGCTCTACTGATAGTAAATAAGTAACGTCAATTGAGTAGGTTAGGAATCACGCCAAGAACCTCGACACCACAGTAGACCCCTTCGGGAGTTGAAATTGTCGTCCATTTTACTTCTAGAATTAGATCGCCACCAACGAAATATGGCCTCGGCGTGATTCATTTCATGTCGACGGGACCATTGAAAGTCAGCAAACAATTCTGCTCTGTTACGTTTTTGCCTGAATTTTAACCGTTCAAGGCCTCGCAGTTCGGAAAGATCACGATTTGTGGAAACTGTCGATAGAAATCAGATTAAATATTGAATACTGCAGTTAAAATTTCATTTGATATGCTAAATTCGAGTATTCCAGTATTGAACCGCATTAAGGGTACGCGACAGTCGATATAGACTTAGTCATCCAAAGCGTTGGACCAATCAAATTTAACCTGGCCTTATTTAAGATTAGTCATTAAGGTAGTGGGCGCTATAGATCATTATTTGATTCCTGTGTTGGGTTTATTTAAGACTATTATAGAATGTTTTAGTTCTCGCAAAAAAGGTGAAGTAGTCAGCTTATTGGTCTCGAAGTTAGAATAGCATGACTAGAAGTTGCTTGATGATCATGATTAAGTGCCAAAATAGATTTTATTACCTTCAGTATGTTCAACATTACTTCGTTTGTGTTCATCCTTTTGTCGATTACCTCCACACCAGCCACAGGAAAGTAAAGTTTGATCTTTGTGTTCTTTCGTGCAGATGCAATGCGTGGAAAGGAGATGAGCTTGAAGTCTGCATTCAGCTCTTAGATCTAGCTTCTTGCCTCCAAATCTTCTCCAACAAAGAACGCAAGTACTCCTCCATTCGATATCTTCCTTACCCCATACAGAAGCAAATCTACCCTGTCTTATTGCTGTTGAGAAGTTATCCTTTACTCTATTCAAGTGGCCCTCTTTGAGAATATGGTTGTATTGTGAGGAGCTATTGTTGAAATCACCACAGACAGAACAGGCGAGAAACTTCCAATCTAGGAAACTTGATCCGGCTGAATGGAAGCATGCGATATGAGCTTGAAGAGCCGCATTACTCGGAAGACCTATTCCCGGGTGAAAAAGTTCATTTGACTTCGAGAAATCATCGTACATCTGATGAATCTGGCAAAGAGGACAAGCATACATCCAGGCTGTTTGAGATTTCAACGCCTTTTCACTTAACTCCTGCGGTCCAGATCGATTTTGTTTCGAATTCAACCATTCCAAGTATTCATAGCCCTCCATATGGATATCTTTGATGTGGTTTTCGAAAATATTTAGGCCTTCTTGGTAAAGAATGGAATCTGTGGAAGATGGTCGAATACTCTGGCAGGGCAATTTGTCCCAGAAATCGATTTCCGATTGGCTTTTCTCGTCGAATAAGAAATCAGGGCATTCGGGACACCGACCATTCAATCTAGATGGAGCATGCACGTATCTAATATGCACGGCGAGTTCCAATTTCGAAAAAAAGATTGCAGATGCACGCCAAGGTTTCAGTGGGGTTGACTTTTTGGTAGTTCTCCTGGGTTGCCTTCTATTATGAGACTGGTCTGATTGCTCATTTTCAGCACAGCAGAACAGACAGACAAAGGGTAATCCCTGTCTCACATGCTTTCGTGAGGCCATAATATTTCTAAAGTAGGCTGCCTTTTGGAGAAGACACGGGTGATTACTACTCCTTTTTTCGTCCTCCATAAACCAGGAAGATCCACACTGTCTACAGGTGAAGCGGGTCTGCGTCGACTGGAGGAAGCTATGCTGAAGTAGCAAGAGGTGTGCATGGAGTGAGTCTCCAGAACTGCATGAAATTCCACATAGACGGCATATAAATTGGGTATCGTCTTGGAGATCTTGCGTATCTGTACCAACTTCTTTCAGACTTTTGGCCGAAGTTGGCTTAACTGGGTGGTGGGAGTGTCTTGAACGAGTTCGTTTAGTAGAGCGCTTACGGGGTAATTCGGGTAGTGGGGTTAGCCTAGCTGACGTAAATGTTGGAGGTGGATACGGTGGTAATAAGTGCCTCGGTGGTTGATGCGATCTAATTGGTGGAAGGGTTGCTAGACAACAACCTTCAGAAGTAGATGGACGAAGAGAAGTGACTTTAAGATCAACCGATGGTGAAGTCATTGCTTTAAATTTGATGGATGGAAAGTAATCGCACAAGCCACGCTATATAAATTGCTTCAACATATTGATTTTTGCTAAATGCAACAGCAAGCTTCACACGGTTCATGGTATCACGTGAGGTCAAAATTTAAATTTTTTTGGAAATATTACGTCAAGGCAACTTTAGATTGTGACTCTTTCTAGTGAAACGCATGCTTACGATAAATCACTCAGTACCTTTAGAAATTGGGCCAGAATCTACCCTATTCTTAAATAAAATTAAGACTAACCTGAACTTCCAAGCAATATCTCCACACTTAGCGTTTATCCCCTTGCCCAACTGTTGATATACTTTATCAACTACTAGATGCATAAAACATGTGTCAAGGACACGATTATACTGTCTATGTCTTATCGGAAGTGTCGAAGTAATGAAAACTGGCCAAGGCCGCTCAATACTGTCCACAAGGTAGGGATGTGTAACCACGAGCCACTGTCCTCAAAATCAAGTAAATTACTTTAACAAAAATAAGAGTGCCAAGGTACAAAAGCTCAAATTCAGCCATCAAGCCCATCGTCAAATTGTACAGATGACCATTTCACAACACTAAGCATTTGAAAAACCTAAAACCAATTAAGCAACGACTTAATGACAGCAATAAGCTAAAATTATGTTAAGGGAGCAGACTTGCTGACATTACATTACAACTCAAAAGGACTCCCCACATGAATAATAATATGTATTACCAAAACAATACTGGGACATATTAAACACAAAAAATGTGCTTATATTTGCTTATTTACATATAGAATAATTAGCAACACGATAAAGGACATTTTCAGAAGTTTCGAACTTCCTAACGGTCTTCCATGTAGCTGGCGATTTCCATAACATCAGGCAGTTCGCTAATGTTAACCTCGAAACGATTCTGCACATCATTAAGGATGTTGGTATCGTGCTCATCCGAGATAAAAGTGATAGCCAGACCTTTAGTTCCAAAACGACCTGCACGGGCGACCTGATAAAGAAAGGAAACAGAGATAAATGAACGAAACGAATGTCTGAAAATACAAATAAAACCAAACGTACCCGATGAAGATAAGTGTCGGAATCTTCGGGCATGTCGTAATTAAATACGATGTTAACACGTTCAATATCCATTCCACGACCGAAGAGATTGGTTGCCACGAGAAGACGCTTTTGAAAGTTTTTGAAGGCTTGATAACGCTCCAGACGTTCGTCCTGGGACATTGCACGATGCATTGCAATAGCAGGGAAATTCTGATCCACGAGAAGTTGTGCTAAGGCGATACAACGTTGAACCGATTTCACGAAGATAATAACCTTTAAAAATAAATCAGCACCATCAGATTTGTTTTCAACTCAACCGAAGGCGATACATGAATGTAACCCAACGTCAGTATTAGCATAGCTAAGTCATCAGCTGTATATACCTGATTGAACTGCAATTCATCCAAAAGTTCAAATAATTTTCTATTCTTCTCATTTTCCTTCACTTTGACGTAGTGTTGACGCAGTCCATGGAGAGTCAGCTTTGAGTCATTGTCAATGAAGATTTCCAAAGGCTAAAAATGGAAAGTAAAAAGACTTCGGGTTAGAAGATCTGAGATTGAGCGACGACACCTTCCTGTTGTCGACCACAACCCGCAATTCACACACTCCCAATTTGTCTATGTTCTCTACGATTTTCTCCATTTTCCCTGCAGAGGGAGAGTAGTACTGATCACATTGCCACACTGGAAAACCAACGACTGCCGAGAATCGGAGTCAGCAACATAAAACGCTCAACACGCAATGAGGGGAAGTATGGGGGAAATCTTTTTTCAACTCCAAACTGACGCCAAAGAATACAAGTCTATGAGGGTTGTAGGCCGATCGGTGATCGCCGCCTTATAATACATCCACTCCATGGACATATCTGTGATTTTGATTTTTTTGTGAGTGGGAGCATCAACATACATCTTGCATGAATTTTCGGCAAACTGGACGAATCTCTTTGCTCATTGTTGCACTGAACATCATTACTTGTTTGGACTTTGACGTCATTTTGAAAATGTTTTGGACATCACGGCGCATGTCTAAAAAAGTGGATTATAAATGGGAACTCCTCAACATACCGAGAGTATCCAGCATTTTGTCACACTCATCGATGACGAAGTGCTTGACGTTGTCCAACTTGAGAGCCTTGTTGCGAACTAGATCCAGAATACGTCCAGGAGTGCCGACCACAATATGTGGCTGGCAAGCCTTTAGTGAGTCAATGTCCTTTCTTAACGGCATGCCTCCGAAAAACACACCAACCTATGTTAAAAACCAACGATAAATTAGTGTGAGTTCAAATACCTTAATCTTGGGCAAGTACTTTGAAAATCTCTCATACTCTTTGCTAATTTGGAAAGCCAACTCGCGAGTGTGACAAAGCACAAGAACTCGAGTTACACCTTCCTCCTCAGGGTCAAGTTGTTGTAGTGTAGCGATGACAAATACAGCCGTCTTCCCCATACCTGATTTGGCTTGACAAAGCACGTCCATGGATAGAATCGCTTGGGGGATGCACTCGTGCTGAACCTCAGAAGGGTGTTCGAAACCGCAGTCTACAATTGCTCGTAGAACCTCTGGCTTAAGAATGAAATCTCTAAAGCCTGAGCTATGTACGGTGACATAATCACCCTTTACTCCCTTTTTGGCGACCAGATCACCGTTAGACTTTGTTTCCTGTACGGTGTCCGGATCATCTTCATAATCCAAAAGTTCACTTTCGTCAGCCATTACAAAAAAATTAGGGGAAACAAAAAACGCACTGCAAAGACGAAAACTCGAGAGGGGCGCACTCAGAGCGGATTCTGGACTGATCAAAACAAATCTTTTCCCAAATATGGTTCTGAATGTAGAATTGTTGAAGATAAAAAGCCATAAATATTATAATTTTTATTTTACAATTCATCGTTATTTTATATTGCATGTTTTCTACTGCTGGAGTTTGCGCTTCGAAAATACTCTAAAATGTTTAACATCTCAATTTAGTACCTTCTAATGCTGTTGTATCACATTGGCATGAAGGCATGAATTAATTTTTTTATTTTATCAGTTTTGGCAAAATGTTACCATATATCATCAGGTGTATTAAAATAATCCCGAACCGTTAATGATGCTACTAATTTTTGAGTAATCAATCTTCCAACTTTCTCCATTTTCAATTTTTCAGTAATTTCGAACTTTTAAATTTAAAAACAGTCACTTCTTTTTAAGTCTTCTACTTAATATTCCTTACATTTACTGACTTAATAGAAATGAAATAAATATTGTTTCAATTTTATAGCAATTGAACGGCACCAGATGGTGCCACAACTGTTAGAATCCTTTCTAATAGCTAACGTTCTCATAATTTTTTGGTGTTTTTGACTTCTTCTTTATGAAATGATCGATTCACTTCGATCCCTGTGTGACCTGTATACAGCAATGTTTACCTTTACGCATGTTCACCAAATATTTAATTCACCAAATAAAGTATGCTGTTTGAAAAACATCTAGACAAATCAATTTCAACCATGCTATAATCTAACACGCTATACTTACATTAGGGCTTAGATATTTTTGAATAATATTTTTTTCAAAAACTGATAAGATAAAATTATTCTTCTGTTTATCAGTTAATATTCTATTTCGCATTTTTCTAACGAGTGTTTGGCCAATTGCATCTACTTCACTAGAATTTTCGAAGATAGTCGTAAAATATCCCTTTTTAAGAAGCATAAAAGATTTAATGCATTTATCACTATCAATCATGCATTAAAAGGTGATTTAATGAGAATACGGTTTAGATTGTAAGATAAGACAAATCACTGCTGCTACTTGAATGTTCCAGAGGTTTTCGATAAATTCAATAAATGTTTTGGAAAACATTTCGGTCTCTGTTTCCATTTTAATTAAAAATTCTGATATGTTTATCACATCGCTTTCAATTTATAAAAACTGAAAGTTTATGGTGGCATACTTTATACGAATGAATAAACTAATACGTGGATAACTTGATATAGAGTATGAAAAGTGGGCATATTTCTGACGTAAATATAAACTAACATAGAATTCTGATACATAGAATTCTAATATAACCTACCATCAGAGAAAATAGAGCTTTTGAATAGTTCTTTACACAAATACATTTGATCAATAACAAATATTAAGATATTTTATCAATTCGGGTTGGCTGCTATTCGGTATATAAATGTCGACGAACAGTCAAATTATGCCAATTCTGAATGAACCCTATCTGAGAGTCTGATTGGCGATCACATACGTTTAAAATCAGTTTGATTATTGGAAACTAATTTTCTTTAACTCCAAATGGTAGGATCAATCTTGAGTCTGGAACGAACTAATAAATAGCTACTAGCACCGCCACTAACGACTGCAGTTGTCAATTAATGAAAAATAAATGCATTATTTAGCATAATAAAGCATTGTAATGTGATATACAACAATAAAGTGTTCTATAAATGAAAGGTTTGGTAATAAAAACAAGTGAGTCCCAATTTGCGCTCAAACTTCGTATAAGTTATATAGAATAGAACAAACATATTAAAAAGTGAGAAGGAAAAAAGAGCTATTTCATTGAATATTTATTATATTATTGGTATTAAATATTACAACTGAAATACTGTATATATTAATATTTATTTAATAAGTGTGAGAATGGTTGTTTTACCGCTCAGATTTAATTCACTTGGGTACAATTGCTGCTTGTTACTAATTCAAAGGCTGTTCAATTGCGCGTTATTTGGTGCTAACATTGACTAAGCGGTATGTATGGCAGTCTTTATGCTATTTAATATAATATTTATATAATATTTATTGCTATTATGACAACGACTTTACAAAGCGACAATATTATTGCAATGCTACTTTTAACTTTTATTTTTTACAATATTTACACATTCCAATTGGTCAAGATATGCGAAGAACTTTTAATAACAAGTGCCATTTAACGTAATATTAAATATGTATAAATACACGCATATATACTTATATAACACAAAAAATATATTACTGAATTATATCACTTCACTATTTGTAAGCAATTATTGTGTTTCAGAGGCATCATTGTTTTATATTAAATTTGGATATTGTCATATGTTAATGATTGGTCGGTAATAAAATTTTCAAGGATAATATTTCCATATTTTTTTATCAAAATACTTATAATAATTTTCTTTTATGTCTAAACATTGGCTTATGAATTCCATGTAGCTTAACCTCAATTTTTATTCTTTTTTCGATTAAGATATCCGAAAACTATCATATTGGAATATCGCTTACAATCTCAAAATTTTAAATTGAGTTTTGCCTTGTATTACTCGATTATACCTCATTTTGGTAGTCATTTTTTCCCATTATTTATTTCGACTATCTATGACATGTCATTTCCTTCATATTTTAACAAATAGATTTTTTTGCACGATTACTTGAACAAATTTTTCTTGCATTCAGTACATGAGCATGTTGAGCAGTAAAGTTCGTGCAAAATTGTCTCAATGGTCTTGCGAATATCATTA